ATGGGAAATATCAATCTGTAAGCATTTTTTATATTTTAAATGAATGGATAATAAAAATGTGTTATGGATGTGACCAAAAAAGTCTGCGAGTTTACAATATACAACATACTTTGTAGATATTCTGTGAATTAAACTCAAAGGAAATCATGCTTATCAAAAGGATAATAGTTGGCTCACAATAGAACAAACATGATTGATTTGATTTTATTTGACATTTTTTGCATTTATGAGGTAAAAGTGTCAATATGGATGTGAAGTCTCTCCGTTATGGATGTGACAGATGTGAAATTGCTACTTGTTTGACTTTGGTAAATCAAATATAATTGTTTGAAAACACTGAAAGAGACTCTTTTTTTTCATTTTTACAGTACTAAAATTCAAGCCTACACACAAAAAAAAATCTTAGAAAGGGTTTCGCTATTTTGCTGAAAACGTTATATTTTCATGGCATGGTTGACATTTGCATGCAATTGCCCATTGCTCATTTGCCTAAAGCACAGTAAAAGGAAGTTTTTTTTTTGTTTATTTTTTTTTTTTAGAGAAAAAATATTTTTCATCATTTTCTCACCGTTCACTTGTTCATGACCTATTTGAGTTTCTTTCTTCTATTGAACACAAACAATTATATTTAAAATGATATTTTTATGCTGCTTGCTGGGATCCTTTGTCTATCATAATAATCTTGTTTTTCGTATGGAAGTCAATGGGTCGCAGTGACCAGAATTCTTCAAAATATCTTCTTTTGTGTTCAACTGATAAAATAAATGCAATCAAGTTTAAAACCACATGAGGGAGAGCAAAGGATGAGGTAATGTTTTTGGATTGGATCCATTTAACATTCAACTGTCCATTATTTCCAGAGAAACAAATTAAAGAGCCCCAATTATGCATTTAAAATGTCATATTTTGGTTTTGGTGGTCTCAAACAAGGAGACGCAGTGGCGCAGTAGGTAGCGCTGTCGCCTCATAGCAAGAGGGTCGCTGGTTCGATCCTCGGCTCAGCTGGTGTTTCTGTGTGGAGTTTGCATGTTCTCCTTGCGTTCGTGTATGTTTTCTCCGGGTGCTCCGGTTTCCCCCACAGTTCAAAGACATGTGGTACAGGGGAATTGGGTAGGATACATTTTCCATAGTGTGTGTGTATGTGTCTGTGGATGTTTCCCAGAGATAGGTTGCGGCTGGAAGGGCATCCGCAGTGTAAAAATGTGCTGGATAAGTTGCCGGTTCATTGCGCTGTGGCGACCCCGGGTTAATAAAGGGACTAAGCCGACAAGAAAATGAATGAATGAATGGTCTCCAACAACAGTCTCATATACATATATGCTGACAAAGTCTTTTCTGATCTTTCCTTTGAAAACATCTGACGATTCCCTTACTGTAAGTGTGTAGATTGCTGAAGCACTCGTCAGAAAAATGACAGGAACACAGCACAAGGCTGAGGATATAATGCTGTGGTATTTAAAAAATAAATAAACTTCAACCACTGATCTTTGGGTAGGGAAAGTAACTCTAACTTTCCCTCACACTTCAGAACACAGCGTCTTTGTGACATGATTCAACTCTCTGCTGTTTGTCTCTCTCTTTTTCTTTCTACAGTCTTTGTGGGCGGGGCCGGGGCTTTTAATTTTCCCAGGTCTGTGCATGCTACAAATGGGCAGATCTTGAGTTCCATGTCAATGTTGCGGAGACACGGCTAAAGACTTGTTACCGCAGCGATTCATTTGAACCACTATGAGTTGACTTTTATAGATGAATCAATAGTTTTAAAAACGGTCCACTTTCAGATTTAAGCCTTAGCTAAATATTTCATTTCACTTAGAGCTATGTTAAACACTGCACGGAAATTCATTTTCTAAAACCCATAAAAGCGGCTCTTTAAGATTCTAATGTAATTTTTTGCTGTTCATTATTGCATTATTTGAGAAATATCATAACATAGTTTACAAATCGCTGCTCCAGAAATATACATATCGACAACTAAAGTGAACACATTCTGTTTTTTCTACCTCTTTTTATTGTAGGTCAAACTAAGCAATAGTTTTGTGCCAGCTCTTGAACATGCTGCACAGACATTTTATTCATATTACACTCAGGTCTGATATTTTATACAGGTTATATTTTGTGTTTTGCAAGTATTAAATGTTTTTTCTCTGAGAAAAAAAACTTTGGTATATGCAAAAGATGTGCAACTCATTGTCTCCATGTACTTATTAACCATCTGCTTTTTTCATATTATTGCAGGTAGCTTTAAATTAATCTATCAGCTTATAAATAGCAGTGACTGACATGTCAGTGCATTCCTAATATCTATACTTATGAGAGTATATAGGTATTTTGAGTATGGCGAAGGAGAAACGTGGAGTTTGGAGAAAAAGGCAAAAAGTTTTGTTTATAACCCATAATTCTAAGCCCCGTAGCCAGCCTGGTAAAAGGTGTGGTTCTTTTTTTTTGTTTGTTTGTTTGTTTTTTAAGTGGAGTTGTAGTTTTTATAACTTTTTCTCATTTTATGACATTTTAAACATCATTTTTAGCTGAATTAGCATATCAATTGGTCATGATAAACTCAATTTTTGACATATGATAAATATTTCCTAAAGGTTTATAATGAAGAACTGTAAAATAATACTTATTTTTAAAATACATATCACATCATATATCATTTGAATAAAATAGGAATCTGTTGAAGTTTTAAATGAAAAACTGTAGTCTATTGTCATATATTAGGCAAATTACAAACTGGACAACACATTCAACTTTCCTTCAGAATTTGGCCATTTGAATTAAAACAAAATAATATTAATAATAATAATAATAATAAAATGTAAAATTCATGGATAACAACAATAGCCAAAATATTATTTAAGTCAAATTCAATATGGTCCGTTTATGGTGCTTCACACCATTTTATTGCTCATTTTTGTTTCAAGAATAATGTCCAAGATTTAGAATTAAAGTTACCTGTAAAATGTTTTTGCTTTTTCGATGAGTTATTTTCACCATTTATGATGGCGTAGCGAATATCAATATCAACTTGGCTGATTCTCTCCAGGTAAAATCTTGCAATTTCTACTGTATTGTTAGAATCATTCAATATTACATCGCAGTTGTACATAAAATAGGAATTTGTAATACATATCACAATAATTAAGACTTTTTTTGCTGTACTTTATTTGTAACAGTTATAGCTTTTCTCGCAATTCTGACTTTATAGATTAAAAACTTGCAATTCTGCAAGAAAAAAAGTAAAAACAAAATTGTTTATATCTCACTATTTTAAAATTATATTCTATAAATCTGTCAAATTTCATGTAAATTGCTGCTTCACTTTTCAAAATCTAACATAATAGAATTCTCACTTTTATTGTCAGAACTGTGAATCTAGCAAATATAAAGAAAAACTGACTATTCCTAGTTTATGGGCTTGTTTTTGACGATCCAGGCGCAAAGTCCAGGGTGCAAAAGCATTGGGCATAGTGTCAGAATCCACTTTTGCTATTTTAAGGACGGGAAAATCCGCTTTGCGCCATGGGGCATGGTCTAACAAGGTTGAGCTTATTCGCTAAATGAGTTAGGTGTGATTTGAGAATAAACCAATCAGAGTCTTATCTCCCATTCCCTTTAAGAGCCAGTTGCATCGCGCCATAGCGCATTTGCTATTTACATGGCAGACTTTGTAAATGGAAAAACTGAGCGCTGTACTAGTAAGAAAACAGAACATCTACAGGCGAGAATGAGAGATGAGCCTCCTCATTCTTTACTTTACTCTTGTGGATAGGGAAACATGTTTTACGCTCAGACATCCATTAGCCTATAAATAATTAATTTTGTTTAAAAACGTAAAGATTTGTTTTAAAACTAATTCTAAATTCAGTTCTAATTTCCAGCAAACAAATAAATTAACAATAATAACAAAGTGTGGTCAAAAAACTGAGTTATATCTAAATACACATGCTGTGCCTCATATGGTCTAAAACCTGACAGGTGGACAAATCTAAGCTTGTTTTTAATAAAACAAATATAAATATGTTTTTTTATATTTAAATGACTTTAGACCAGCTTTGATCTGGTCTATTGAACAGTCTATTATAGATCCTCAAAATAGCAACGCGCCAGCAATGCACCTCAACACGCCTCCTTTTTTAGACTAGAACGCCTATGGGCGCACATATAAGCGCAAATCCATTTGCTATTTAAACAGCGTGGTGCAAAACGTCAAAACGCCTCTTGCGCCAGGCTGAAACTAGCAAACAACAATTGCGTCGCGCCTTTCGCCAGGCGTTTGATAGGACCCCAAATCTCAAAATTCTGAGCTTATATCTCACAATCCTGTCTGCATCATGCAGTTTTGACCGTAAAAAGCTTTCATAGCCATCCAATATGACATAATCACCATTATCCCCCAGGGTGGATAAAACACCAGTTCAACCCATCATAGGCTTTACAGTGGCAGCTTATAATTGAAGACATTGTTTGCTTTCTCATGGTTGCCACTGCATCATTTTTTCCCCAGCACTGTTTTGTGTGGGACCAGATTGAACCTATTATTAGACAGTTGGGATAAATATGTAAGTTTACAGTTGCTATGTGGTATCAGCTGTGTGTGGGATCAAGTTGTGATGCCGTCAAGAGAGCAAGACAGCTTGACTCAGACTTCTGGGAAGAGTTTGAGCGTAGGAAACCAAAAGGAACTACGTTTGAACGTGTCAGCATCTGATACAGGCATCTGCTCAACAGCTTTCACTGCGATCATCAGATACCTCTGCAGCCATAAGTTCACCAGGAAGTCGAATGTCAGGCTACATCTCAAAGGAAGTATGCTTGTTTGTATCATAAATGTTCTGTGTGGCTTTCGCTATGACACAGGCATCGATATAAATGAGTCACCACAGATGAAGCAAGTAAACAACTGCCTTTTTGCGGTGGTTTCAAGCGTCACTCTTTCAGTGTACCTTGTGGGACGTTTTGCATGTATCGTGACTTTCTGTCTCTTGTGTTTGTTCTAGCACGTGCCTGTCCTCATTCAAAAGGAAGCATGGGGTCATTACGAAAGCCCAGACCCCGTTTCATGAGCTCGCCCGTGCTGTCAGACCTGGCCCGCTTTCATGCCAGCTCGCCAACTTTGCAACTGTCCAACGCCAGTGTTTGGAACAGGTGGGTGTTTCCCTTTCCCAAGGATGAGAGAGAAAGAGAGAGAGAGCATTGTTTCATTAATTGCCATGAGATTTGAGGATGTGTTTGGGCTTTTTCTAGACACAATAGAATGTGCTTTTTCTAGACACAAATGTATTTTCCCATTTTTTTTTTTTTTTTAAGTATTGAACTAAATTGAACTGAACTAAATTGAACTTTAACTCTGAAAACTTGACTAATACGGTTTCAATTGCTATTTACTAGAACTTCTATGTTAAGCTGCTTTGACACAATTGACATTGTAAAAGCGCTATAGAAATAAAGATAAATCGAATTAATTGAAATTAATTATTGAGAATAAATTGATAATAAATACATCAATATTATTCACACCAGATACACACTATTTAGGTTACTATAACATTTATTTTAAACTTCTGCCAGTTAAAAAGACACTTTTGGGTATTTGTGTTTACTTTTGTGTATTTCGGGAGAAGTTGATTAATTAACATGTTGTAATGCAGCAGCTGGCGATGCAGTGGCGCAGTAGGTAGTGCTGTCGCCTCACAGCAAGAAGGTCGCTGGGTCACTGTTTCGAACCTCGGCTCAGTTGGCGTTTCTGTGTGGAGTTTGCATGTTCTCCCTGCGTTTGCGTGGGTTTCCTGCAGGTGCTCCGGTTTCCCCCACAGTCCAAAGACATGCGGTACAGGTGAATTGGGTAGGCTAAATTGTCTGTAGTGTATGAGTGTGTTTGTGGATGTTTCCCAGAGATGGGTTGCGGCTGGAAGGGCATGCGCTGTGTAAAACATGCTGGATAAGTTGTCGGTTCATTCCGCTGTGGTGACCCCAGCTTGATAAAGGGACTAAGTCGACAAGAAAATTAATGAATGAATAAATAATCCAGCAGCTTTGATCTCTCCTGCACTGCATACAAGGGTTGGCGATAAAATCGATATTGGTATTCATTGACCGAACACTGTTGTCACCTAAAATAAAAACCGATAATAAAAAAATTCAATATGTACAGTGCTTCCTCTAGGATTTTTTCTAGCTGTGGCGGCAGACCTTTTTTACGCAGATCTACCAACTACCTGTGGCGTTATTTCAATGACAGATGTCGTGAGCGCAGTACTACAAGTCGAGCTCGCATTTATGTAATAGCCTACGAGCATGCAAATCTCTTTGCTTGCGTGCCGATTTCCTCTGCTCGTGCACAAAACTTCTTGCACACCCTCAAATATACGCTGCTCAAGCACAGACCTTCTTGTGCGCTCTCAAATAAACGCTGCTGAAGTGCAATTTAGTGTGTTTATGTAACAAATATGTCTCCAACATTTATTAGATTTGCTAGGAATATTTATGAATGTTTCCAATAGACCTACAGAGCGGTATTAATGCGTCCTGAAGAAAAAAGAAACGGCTATACGTCGTGTTTGATGGCCATGCACCTGTCAGTCAGCCAGCCAGCCAGTCAGTCAGGCAGTCAGTCAGTCAGTCAGTCAGCACGTAACCTTAAAGGTTCAAACAAATAACGCACAGCACTTCTACGGTTACAGAAAAGTTTGCACTGTTATAATTCACTTTCCTTTTAATGCATTTTGGTGCAATTATCACTCGCTTAAAAAAAAAAAAACATGACTGAATGTTTTGAATGAAAAGCTGTAATGCAGCCGTGGCGGGATAATTTTTTGGCGTGGCGCCCCGCCATAGAAGAATAAATGTAGCAGAAACCATGTATGTAGTTTCGGTATGAATCGCTGTAGTTTTGTTAAAATGTGACTGCTGAGCATTCGCCTTGGAAGCAATGCCAATAAGCTTAGTGTGTCAGTTTGTCATTTCCAATGGAGGTGTAACATGCACATGGTGTGCAAGTGGCGCACACAGAATGCACGGGCATTTTCCAGGCACACCTAGTTGAAAAACATTTGAACTTTTCAGAAAGCCCAGAGCGCTAGAACTAACGAATCTGCTTCACACTTTGTGTGAAATAAACACGTTTCAGTGATAGCGGCAGATTAATTTCCTCAGACAAACACAAAGCATGCACTCACGCTTGTCACTTCAGGTTAAAATAACACACACGCAAAAATAAGTGCCGTATAGCAGCAGTGAGGGTATTGTAACTAAAAAAGAATGTTACCAGAGTGGCTTTTGGGTTTCTTTTCTTGTGCATCCCAGCCACTAGCACCCCATCTGAAAGACTTTTAGCATTGGGGTGATGTTGTCATTCAACTTCAATATTTGTAATGTTGCAGTATGTATTTGAATAATGATAGCTGGTTCCTTTACTTAAGAGCTTTTTGTTTTTGCCTATTAAAACTATTTGCCACAGTAATGTTGGTAAATTAAAATACTAAATAAAAAAAATATCCT